AGTCAACCCATATGCCAGGTCCCAGGACGAGCATGGGAGTGCTCTAAATTCTCAGTCAACATATCCTTCTCAGGCCCATCATTCTCCAGCAGACACCTGGCAAGCCGCATTCAACACATTCCTCACCTCCAGCAGATTATGGGGAGTAAAAGGGAAAAGGAGGATTTAGACAGAAAGGAACCTGGAACAGGCTGATGATATTTGCTCTGGCCAATACGGGAAATAAGATGACAAGCATGTTCTGGGAGCTCGCATCCGCAGAGCGCAGGACGTTGCAGCACTCTCCACGTCTGCTTTCAGGGGCCTGGCCTCAGAGGGCCTGCTCTTTGACCTGGAACTCTCCAGAAGGCTCCAAAGTGGTGAGCTACTTACAGAACACAGAGGTCAGATTCCAGAGAGTCTTTATTACCCTCAATTACTCCTATTTACGTGAAGAATAATTAACATGCAACAACAGTACTACTTTGCACATTCTAGAGACAGATCTGGGCTCCCAACGTCGTTCTGGAGATCGGGAGAGGCCCGAGAAGATTCTACGTTAGGTTCAATCATGTTGGGGCAACTGTGGAAGACCTCTGGGGAAGATCCCTGGGGGTTTTCCGCAGGGAAAAAGAGCTACTTTTTCCAAGTAAAATGAGGGAACAAGAAGATCAGAAAAAAAACAATTCAGAATTTCTTCTGAGATACAAATGGATAGATACCCCTTGTGTGAGGAAGTCAGAGGACTAATTAGTGACCGTCTGATTTTTTTCCCATCTTCATGGTATCTACTATACATTTTCAGGAACTATGCAACAAATATAAGAAAAGGATGATCAGTAAGAATTTGGAGGTTTTTTTCACAAAGGAAATGGGAAGGGAGAAAAGAAGTTAAAATACTTATGCATATGCACATTTGTATTAAAGACCAGGAACAACTACCACTACTTTTATAGATTTTTTTTTCATGATTAAGTTGGACGTTTTACAAGATCCATCTTTCCTTCCAGCAACAAAGCTAGAAGAGCATCGCAGGGCATTCTGTGACAAGTGACTGTAGACGCCTGCGTGGCTGCAAAGTGTAAATCTTTGTACAGCAACGTCAGCTCATTGTTTCTTCCCAGTCAACATGTTCTGACAGTTGGTCTCCAAACCCCAGTACCCACTGTAGTTACTGTGCCCTCAAATAAACTTCTCCCTGGCTAAATGCCTTTCTGATTTAATTCTTCAGATGGACTTCTGACAAATCGACAAATGAATGGGCTTCTCATGTGCTTGCTTCAGACTGACTGTTTCTGTCCCCCCAACCCAAATTCAAAGGCTGAAATTTTAATCTGACGATATGAGGAGATGGGGCTTTTGTGAGGTGCTGGTGAAAGCTGAGCCGTCAGGAATGGGGTGAGTGCTCCTATGAACGAGACCCCAGAGAGCTCCCCGCCCCTTCCACCGTGTGAGGGCACCGCGAGGAGACGGCGGTCTACACGCCAGCCTCCAGAACTGTGTGCAGTAAATCTCTGCTGTGGAGCTTTGTTGTCGAGCCTGAACCCAGACACCACTTCAAAATGGTGGTCAGGGCGCATGAAAAGTCCCATTGCAGTTATAAGGAAGTATATACACCCACCACAGTTAAAAGACTACCGTGGACCTGAGAGATTCCAACGAGAACCTGGAAGCCATAGAATCGATGAGGAAGACTGACTGGTGGAGCGGAGCAGAGGCAGCTGCCGGCCCCGGAGACCGTCTAAGCGGGTTGCTGCTGAGGGCGGACGTGACTGACTGACCCAGCGAAACCTCGAAGAGACTCCAAACTCCGGAAAAGCACAAGAGGGGCCAGGAAGGACAAAAAGGGTAAAAGGAGAAGATTAGCTCAAGTCTAACTGTCAACAACTGTTACTTCCAGGCCGAATTCCTAGCCTTATGAGAAACAACAAACCTTACAGGCCCCCGGGCAAGAACCAAAACTTAAAAGGGAAATGATTCTCTTAGGAAATTAAACACAATGTCTGGTGAGAGCTAAACAGCTAATGTGGCTCTGAGAACCCCGAAGTCAAGCCCTCTTCATCACTCTGACACTTAGCAACTCTCCAACACGAGGGCTGGCTCGGTGCCACCGGAGGGAAGCTGCCGGGGGCAAGACGCACCTACACAGACAGAGCCCTGGAGGCTGTAAGGCCACCTCACCTTCACACAAACGAACAGTCAGGGACAAATGTGTATTTAAAGAAAGTCTACAACATGAAAGTGGAAAATCAAGATAAACAACAAAAAGACCCTAGAAGAAAACAGAAAATTCCAAAGAGTGAAGATACTTTATAAAGAACCCCCCAAACAACTCTTATTAGTGTCCCTAAAAATACCTGAGAAACAATAATTACATCCACATAAAAACAAACAACAATCAAAACATGGACAAGAAATAACAATCCAAGGGAAAAATGTCTACGGAATTACAAATACGGCCCCTAAAAAACAAGTATCAGCGAACACTGTGTGCACATGCCTGGGTACCCTGACTCTGATGACGTAGTCCTGAGACACAGACAATTCCTTACCTAAGATGTGCTGTATGTACTGCACAGTTGGAAGTTTAAAACAGCACGTGTCGAACATGGTCATGGGAAGGAGACAGTGCCACGATGCCCCACTGTTCCAAGAAAATCTGAGTCTGTTTTTAACTCCTCCGCTAGCTTG